GGGCATGCGCATTCGCATTTTTCTGAGTTGGAACGCTTATGCAAGAGCAAGATTGTAACGGGATCTTGGTATCATGTCACCGTAGTTACAAACCCCAAGTGATGTACCTCTGGTATTATACAGTATTGAAAAATTAATAATTGTGAATTTTTTAGATGCTCTCAAAGACCAAACAAGCTGAATTACCTGTGGTGGCCGGCTGTCTACTGGGGCTGACACATTTATTAGTCAACTTCACACAGTCTGTAGAAGAAGGTAACACACCAAATCATAACCATAATTACTAAATGAATGTAGTTTTAATTGTATTACATGTACACCAGTTTGTATGCCACTGCATATGTCTGACTCAGATATTTACTTCTGGTTGTATACTCACATGTGTTACCATATTTACTCTATTTGTACCACATCTGCTCACTTATATTTGAATGACAGAGAATTATGAGAATAGGTAGTTTTCTAAAATGATCCTGTGTACAATACATGCATTTTTTGGTTCAAAATCTCAAAACACTACCACTGATTATTATGATCTCTATGTACAATTATGAAATCAGTTGGTTTGACAACAAATCCTGAAATATTGGAGCACTGATGTGAGCGTGCACTGAAGGTCATGGTCACCAAATCAAACATACTTGTTATTGTTGTAATCAACCGCGGCCTTTACAGTGCTAAGTAGGTTTTCAAAATTCAGTTTCAGGATTATATGAATTTTTTATGAACTGTACTAAATATTTAAGGTCTTTTCTGGGATCATTTTAAAATTTTCTACAGGTCATACAATGCGGGAATGCAATTTTAGGTGCTAAATTCTATTAGAGATACGCTTCATATACTGTAAAATCGTAGTTGTCTTTTTTCAAACATTTCACTTTTCCCTGATGCCTAAATTAGGTGACGCCTTAATTAAGAATTTACGGTAGAGCAAATATGGTCAATCATTCTAGTGTTACAGACTACACTAAGTGTCTATTTCATATTTATTAGCTCTGATGCTTTGACTCTAATTACAGAAGCACCACATGCCTGGGACATCTTTCGATTTACACGAATGGCAATTGATCCTAAAGTTGGATATACCAGGTTTGATGTACCAAAGACAGGATTATGGCTCCTTGCTAAACATGCACCACAGTTCAACAAGTATTTGTTGGATGACCACGAGGTAAGTCATGTACAAATCACTGTAAATCTTTTTCATCTTTTGACATGTTCACTATTTTCTCATTTGAGAACTTGTGTAAGGAAATATTTCGGAAAAGTCACTGTGATTTCACCTTTGGTCGCAAAATCGCCAAAAAATTGCTAAACTTAAGTGGTTTACAGTATTCCTCTCTGAAGCATATTCAAAATGGTTCAAAACTAGAGGGGCTTCTCACTAATAAATACAAAGTTAGGCAGTCTGTTTTTTATTGATTCTTCATGTAATTGACAATTATTTCTCAGGAGATGTATGATAAGTTGTTCAGCTGGTGTCAGCATCACAATCGTGACATGAAGTCGGCTGGATATGCCTCGCTAGAAGCCTTCCTGAAGCAAGTAGCGAGCATGTTAGTGGAAGAAGGCAATAAAGACAAAAGAAATAAAACAACTATATTTAAAGTAAGTTTTACAGTGAATGTGTTGAATATTCAGTATTGTTGCTGATAATACAGTCCGTAACGTCCGTATCAACCAACAAATAAGTACCGGTAAATCAGGTGTTTTTATTACATGACTAAGTCTCAAAACTACAATAATTAATTAGCCATGATGTCTGTGAATATGTATTTGCAGTTACAGCCACCAATGGTTTTTGAGAAAAGTGAAAACACTAGTTGTTGTTAACCAGTCTCTACTTCTAGTATCACTGTGATGAAAGTGGTGTCATGACACAATCTGTTTTTCTTGGCATATTGTTTGATCACACAAAATCGATGACATTTATCATGCATGTTGCCGTTTTTAGTGAGAAATATCAGTATTGTTTCTCAATAAATGCCACTAATGTGAATGATATACAATGTATGCACCATGGTCATGTAATAATATCTATTATCATACATCTGTCACTGTAACGATATACATGTAGCGTGCCGTAATTTTGCTGTATTTAACAGAGTATTTTCATCCTACCATATAAGGAAATGCAAATTCCAAATATGGAATGATTACATGCATAAGTGTCCTCTAATTATAAAAACAAACATGGCTGCCACCAAGGGTTGACCGGACTTCACACAAAGAAGTTCGCTGATTCTGTTCTAAATATTTTAGGATTTCGGCATTCCCATGATGTATCCTTGAAAGGAAAAGTTGTGAAATAATAAGGTTATTACGAGGATACCTCAAAGTATG